AAAATATGATGTTCTTTTACTGCAGCTGGTAGCACATGGTGAAAAGAAATAATATTGACAGCCTTTTATTCAACCAGTAAATGGATGATTTAAATATTGACCTGAGGAGTATCTTCAAGGCAGCCTCTGAGAGACCATCGACACTGACGGCTTCTTCATCCTTCAGCTCTGTGTTTGGATATAAAGACTAATTTGTCCTCATATTTAATGAGTCTGAATCACTTGGGGTCTTGTTAAAATGCAAGTTCTGGTTCAGTTGGTCTGGATTGGGCTCCAGGATGCTACAGTCTGGACTAGCTACCAGGTGGTGCTGTTGTTGCCAAGCCTTGAATAACTTTTTGAGCTGTAAGAAGCTGGACAACTTCCTATCATAGAAAGACGCCCTTGGAAGGCAACTTGTGTGACTGATGGAAATCCCTGATGACCCCACAAATGAGAGCAGGGAAAAAAAAAGACCATTTAATGACGTAACAGTCAAAAATGTGATACAAATAAGAAGACAAATAAAAGTGACGGCAGTGTACATGAAGTAACATTGCGTTGATTATGAAACAGGTACAGAGAGTAGCCATTATGTAAAGACTGTAGGAACACCAGCCCATGAGCAAGTGGGCTGGAAGTCCCTTGACTCTGTGCACCTTACACGGGAGGAGCAGCTCTTGGTGCAGTTGGGTAGCACCCCGAAATGTCCTATATGTGTCCACTGTTTACTTGGAGCAAAGGCAATTCTACCAGGTGAATTCATCAACATTTCTTTTGAGGAGAAAATACTCTGATGGCTTAATGAATGTTCAAAGATGACAGGGAAAGGTGATCTTAGATGCACATCTGTTAACTGCCCAAGACACATTGCTGCATTCAGTAAGTGTTTCTGTTTTCCCTCCAAAGTTCTAACAAAATTCTAACAAAACACTGACTTGTGGAGGCCACTGAGAGGCTGAATCTGCTAGTGAAGGTTCCCTTTCTTTACAGTGCGGCAGATATCACATCCTCTGTGACACGAATCATGTCCCATTCAGTAGAGATAGCTCATAGGTTGAAACCTTGGGGTTCATTGCTGAAGACCACAAATTTCTATGGCTTTAGTGTTATGAAGGTTCTAGGCCAGCACTGGACTTATACAAAAGGGTAGAACATGCTTCTAACATACATGCATAAAAGCAGCCATTGTCAACTCTGTAGCTCCTTAGGAGTAAAACACAGATGGAAACCAAGATGCTCTGCACAGCTTTTATTCTAATTCTTGGAGTGGAGCTTCAAGGCCAAGGGCCGCTGTTGAGCTTACATCCCACCCTTTCATACATGAGCCAGACCCTGGTGGGTGAGCAGAGAGCTTGGTGTTGTAAATACTTTTCTGTTTATTACTGACCATGGAAGCACCTTGAATTATATTGTTTTATTTTACAGGTCTATACTTGTAGCATCTGTAGCATTAAATATAATCTTTGTATTTAGGAATGTTTCATGAACATGAGCCAATATCATCTATATGTTTGAGCACAAGTACTCCAGAGTCAGCCTTAAGTTTCCCTTGACTTCCTGCTGTGCAGTCAGAGGAGGTGGAAAGTTTCTACCCCACCATGCTGTTAAAACTGCAGAGAGCACCCACAGACTTTCATTGAGAGAAGAATTTCTAGTGTTACCACAGGGTTTGGCCCGGCTGCCTATGGAATGCTCTTGACATTCTTGGTTCTGTCTTCACTTAGATTCTTGACACTGGGCAGAGGCTAACCGTCCCAGAACGAGAAAGTCTGTGGTCTGCCCTGGGTTTAGTTTTAACTTTCTCTTTGTTCTCTAAATGCTTCTTTTCTCAAAGTGTCTACTGTCCTTTGCAAGCAACTAGGGTTTCCTGACCTCTTTTTCCTTTCTGTTTCTAATGTCCCAGAAAAGATAACTGTTTCTGGGAATACAAATACTTGGGAAGCCTTATCAATGAGGTTGGTAATCACCAAGAGAATAGCTGGTCATCTGTAGCTCTCTCTAAAGTGTGAACACTTAACAGCCAGGCATGTGAACAAGGAAGGATTTCAGAACAACATGAGCTTGTTGGATGATGATGTCCAGCACAATGTCAAATCTGTCTATTAAAACAAAACCTCAACTTGAAGTTTCATCCCCTTTCTCTCAGCGATTTTTGCTTGGTGAATGTCACATGGCTTTGGTGTGTTCTTTTTTGAGGCACAGTGTTACTGTGTAACCCAGGCTAAACTTGAATTCATGATTCTCCTGCCCCAGCCTTCATACTGCTGGAATTATAGGCTTGTACCATGGTTCAAAGCTCGATTATGTGGCATTTTGAGAGGTTTGCTTCAATTCAGATATTTCTTCTGGAGGATGCTATACTCCCTATGATTGTTGCTCATAGGAACTGAGCCTCAAATAATGACATTTTTTTGTTGAATTCACATTCTGGATTTGGTATTTATATATTTATGTATTTATGTATTTATTTAGAGACAAGGCCTATGTAGCTTGGCTGAATGGACACTTGCCCCATAGACCAGGCTGGCCTTAAATTGACTGAAGTCCTTGTGCCTCTGCTTCCTAAGTGCAGGGATCACTGCGGTGCCTGGCTTAGTTTATTTTCTCTAAACACTCTGGGCTTGGCTGTGATTGTTTTCCTTCTGTTTCCTTGTTGGTGGGAACTGTGGACGGCTGCATTCACTTCATTTGCCAATGCTCCTACAGACCAGAAATCTCCCAAATCATTCTTGTGTAGTTAACTATATACAGTATCCTCAGCTTCACAGGGTCAACCCTCACTTCCTATCAGAACTTCAGGGCTTAGAATTTTACTTTGCACCTTTGGAATTCTTGGTTTAGGTTGTGGTATTTAATGGTATCTATAGTTGCTCTTAGAACATACCTTTTCTTGCCAGAAATCAGTCCAGACTTCTTACCCTGAATGTGGTTTTGATGTGTCTTAGCTTAGGTTGTCCATCAATGCCACTCAACAATCAACCATCAAAGTGAAAAAAAAAATCTGTCAAGCTAGCTACTTGACTATATGGCGGTTTCCTCTGGGTTTGCAGGCATAGTGTTGGGAAGGTCAAATTCTTGTCACTCGCTCATTACCAGTATGGTGGATTACTACTTTGTCTGTAGGAGCTTAACTACATGAAACTATGCATTTAAAATGTGTCTGAAAGCTGTAGGAGAAACAGCACAACTCTATTGATCTACCCTCTGAACTCCAACTGGATATGGGTGATGCTGAGGGGAGCTGGGTGGGAAGCAGATGCCAGGCTTGCCTCAGCTCTGCACAGCACACCATTCTTGGTGTCTCACCTGCACACTGAGGCCTTTTCCTACATCCAGATTCTGAGGCCTTTTCTATTCCCACATGGATATCAGTTCCCATTTGTTAACTTCGGAGACTATTAGCCACTCTTTTTTTTTTTTCTTTTTCTTTTTCTTTGGTTTTTCGAGACAGGGTCTCTCTTCTGTGTAGCCCGAGCTGTCCTGGAACTCACTCTGTAGACCAGGCTGGCCTCGAACTCAGAAATCCGCCTGCCTCTGCCTCCCAAGTGCTGGGATTAAAGGCGTGTGCCACCACCGCCCGGTTATTAGCCACTCTTAATTTTGATTTCTATGACTCTTTGTATTTAATTCTCAGAACAGTTGTTACTCTTGGGGGAGAAAGACAATTTTGTGAAACAAATCATCAGGTCCTGCTATAAAGATCTCATTGGTCCGTTATGGGGATGGCGGCATGGGGGGGCATGTTGCCTCTTGACTGCATACATTGGCAAGTTCTCCTTGGTGGAGCCAATGTACGCTTTCAGTTTTTCCTCCAGAACAATAAGAAGTGAGGAGCAGCCTTCTAGCAAGAGGTACCCATGCCATATTGTAGCAAAACTGGCTCATAGCACTAACATTGTTACAGGACCAGGTACCCATCACTATGTGTGAAGAAGGAATGGTAGCCCACAGCATTATGGCTCATGTGTATTTGATTTCCATGTATGAAGCCAAGCAGTCCATCCTTGTTTTTCTAAATGTCAAGCTTTGGCTTACAGAACTCCAGTTTCTTCTTAGAGGGTGTGTGTTTGTGTGTGTGTGTGTGTGTGTATGTGTGTGTGTGTGTTTGTGCATTCGTGTATATGTGTGCTTCAGAAAACTTTTATCCATTATATGGGAGAGAAGAAAAACAGTACTAACATGTAGAAGAAGCAAAAATATATTTCAGAAATTCTAAACAATAGACTAACAACCAACCCCTCCCAAAGATTGAAGGGGTGTCATGGAAGGACTTAAGAAGACCCATACCATACCATTTTCTTCTGTGGTTCTTCTAAGAGCAGAAAAGACTAGAAAGATTGAGATTTTTTTTTCCTAACAGAGGGAGCTTCAATCTAGAAAAAGTGAAATATTTTCTTATTGCTAAGATATGATTTACTGATGTAATAAAGTTTTTTTAAAAAAAGATAAATCAGCTTCCCTGGGTAATTCCAGGGCATTTGTAAGCAAATAAGCTAACCAGGACCCAGCACAGCCTCTAATTAAAACACGGATCGTCCCTGGCTGTTTAGAACCGTCCTGTCAGGTGCAGGATGCCTCATGGGAGCTCTTCCTGCTCAGGGCCAGACGCCTTCTCCCAAATGCCCATGGAGGGCGAGCTTCACCACTTAAGCCCATCCTCCACGGCCATTTGGGAGAAGATGTTAAGGAAAGAGAGAGGAGAGCAATGACGTCATACTGGCTGAGACTAGAATCGTCCTCAATGGCAGCTTATACAGAGCCAAGCTGAGAAGCGCTTTCACCTAAAGCGAGCAGGAAAGTGGAGGCACTTTGACTCTGAAGGATTCTGGGGCTGTTTTGTTTGTTTGCTTGTTTGTTTTTTTTTTGTTTTAATATCTGGTGTCCATAAAAATCACCATTCTCTTCTCTCTCTCTCTCTCTCTCTCTCTCTCTCTCTCTCTCTCTCTCTCT